TCAGAAAAAAGGACCCTAAGGGAAAAGAGAGAGAAGGTCAAGAAGAGAGGACTGAGGAGAAATCAACCCTGCTGACACCCTGAACTCAGACTCAGAATCCAGAATGATATGAAAATAGACATCTGTGGTTAAGTAACTAGTAGACCATGAAGCTCACTCACATATCACATGCTTTTACAAAACAGGACAGAGAGGCTCAAAGAGCTTTATGGGAGATGTTTTGAGCCTTGACCGAGAACCTACCTACATTGCACAGCTGGATATTTTCACCCTTACCACTGAGCTACTACTACGCAGCAACATTTTTGCTGGATTTTCTCCATCTGTGGTTTTTTGGTTTGTTTTAGTCAGAACCGGGAATTGAACTCAGGCCCTTGCACTTGCCAGGCAAGCGCTTATTCTACTGAGCCATCTCCCTGGCCCCTCTCCATCTGTGTTCATTGTTTATATTTTTGGCTTTATTTTGGAAGAGAATCTCACCACCTTGTCCAGGCAACCCTCAAACTTTAAATCCTCCAGCCTCAGCCTCCCAGGTCACTGGAAATTCATACATGTGCCACCAACCTTTTTTCATGCATATCTCACCACAAGGCAAGTAGGAGTTACCAGCCCATGTCTCCACGGGAAACTTTAGGTTTACAGCTACTAAATGACTGGCCAATATCACAGGTTAGAAGTATCAAGGCTGCAAGAGGGTTTAGGTCAGTCCACCCAGGTGGCCCAACACTTCCCTCCTTTCCCAGTGACTTGTCACTTGTTTAATGACACTGACTGGTCCTGCAAGAGGTGAATTATAGAACAGTTGCTATGGCTGTCCTTTATTGGGATCTTGCAAGGTCCGAGCACAATGATAAGCATTTTGTCTCTATCTTCCTGCAATCTTGCCTACAAGCCACTTTGTAGATGGAAGTTCAGAGTGAGTAAAGACTTGCTCAAGGGATTCAAGTGTTTACAGACACCCAGGATGGGGGAATTATGTCTGGGATAGATGCATATATTAACCCTGTGCCCCACTGGGACCCCAAGGACAACTTCACAACAGGACCCAGCACCAGGGTGACCTCAAGAAACTGTCTTTCGGTACTTACCCAGAACTTCCAGCGAGACTGTTCCTTCTGCCATCTCAGGGGGGACCACCACCTGGCATTGGTACACTCCTGCATCCCACACCTGGACACCAGGCAGCTGCAGTGAGGCGTCACCAAACTGCAACCTCTCTCGAGACACCTCAGCCCCAGGTCGCCTGACATCTTTAGTATCAGCATATAACTCTAACACCACGTCCTCTGCTTTAGACACCTCATCCATCCGACACCACCTGATGCCCACAGTACTGGGATCCAGCATTCGGAAGCCAGAGACTTTGCAGGAGATGGTGACATTGTTGTTCAGCAATACCATCTGCGTCCTTCCTTGCATCACCACTTCCAGAGAACCTGTGACAACAAAACACTCAGTTTCAGGGATCCTTGGCATCTCAAACATGACCCCACAATCTATTCATTCTGGGCTAAGTGTGAGAGGACTCAGGACAGAGTCTCTCCGTTCATCACTCTCATTCATCCTCTAAGATCCCTCTGTTCTTTTGCAAGATTACATGGCTGTTGAGATCCCTTGTAATTCCACATCAAGTTCAGAATGAGCTTATCATTTTTACCAACTGGTGCTATGCCAGCCCAGCCCTCAGGGTCCCAGGGACAGTGATTCAGACTAGGTGTGTTGTCACACCCCTATAATCCCAGCAGTTGGAAGGCTGAATAAAAGAATCACTATAAGTCAAATCTACACAGTAAGACCCTGTACAACCTGTAGACCCTACTGAACACATACACAGACAAAAATAAAAAACAGCATTAGTAGTATAGTGGTGAGTATAGCTGCCCTTCTAAACAAAATGTAGCAAGTGACCAGCTGTGACTCTGATAGAAAGTGCACTGAATCCCTTGATGAATTTGGGACACTGCCATCTTCTCAATGTTACCACTTTTCACCCATCAGCATGTGTGTGGCTGGTGCTGTGGACTCAGTGTTTCTGTCCTCCCAGTATGTATCTGTTGAGCCCTATTGCCCAGTGAGATGGTGTTGGAGGCAGGGCCTCTGGGAAGGGAAGAGAAGAGGTCTAAGGGTAGAGCCTGCTGCATGGGATTAGTGCCCTTCGGAGGTGGAAAGCTCTCTCACTTAGCCCTGTGAAGACACTGCAAGAAGGTTCTGCAATTCAGTAAAGGAGCCCTCACCAGAGACCCCATCAGCCAGCACCTTCCTCTCAGATTTCCAAGCCTCCACCATGGTGAGAAACAAATCTGCTGAAGCTGCCCGGGATATGGCGTTTGCTGTGCCACGCTGAGAGCACAATGATAGTATTCATTTTCCACTCATTTTGGTGTTTTGTTTTGTTTTGTACTGGAGTCCAACTCGGGACCTTACACCTGCCAGGCAGGCACTTAAGCCACTGAGCTATCTCAGCAGTCCTCTATTCATTTGTTTAGATTAGCCTAAAATTCCTTGGACACTATCTCATAGGTCTCAGAGTACTGTCAGGAGTCCCTGACTGACAGGAACCCAATACCTGTCCTCAGCTGGTTTCCTCACTGTCTGAGCATCACTGAGTGAGGGTCGCACAAACCTGAAGGGACAGCTCAGCCACTCACTGGGGTTCTTCATGAGCTCCAGAGACCGGGTGTCACCAGCTCATCATGAAGTTACTAAGCTACTACCTGCATCACCTTTTACGGACACCTTTTTAAAACTAATGTACACAAAGTATACTCTAAAATGATATGAAACGTATAGAAAATATACAGATCAGTGTCATCTATTCTCATTATTCCATCTCCACACAGTTGTTTCACACGGCCAGCAGCACAGTATTTTTCATACCCATACGAGGACAGCTGGAATACTCTGCTACATTACAGGGGAGGTGGGGGATGGGTCCGGCTGAGGTGGGGTACAAGAGAAGGGCATGGGGTGGCATGCAAGTGCACAACAGTGGGATGATGGTGGAAGGAGGGCTAAGAGGAGTTGGGGGCAGGAGACTGGAATGGGGGGGTGGTGAAGGTTGGGTGGCAAGTGGGTAGGCTTTGGGTGGGGTTGGTTAGGTGGGGCCTGCAGCAGGGCATTAGGGGGTCGATGTGAATGGAGGGGGAACTGGTGCAGGGTAGGGGTGTGGGAATGTGTTCCTTAAGGCTGGGTTGGCATGTAGGGGTCTCAGAGTGGAGTGGGGGAATTCCTGGAAAATCAGGGATGTCCCAGGCCAAGACAAACAAGACCCTAGGTTTTCCAGGCCAAAAAAAAAAA